AGCCTGCGAGCCACAACTACTGAAGCCCACGCACCTAGAGCCCATGCTCCGCAAGAGAAGCCACCGCAATGAGAAGCCCATGCACTGCAAGGAAGAGTAGCCCCTGCTCGCCGCAGCTAGAGAAAGCCCACGTGCAGCAACAAAGACCGAATGCAGTCAAAAATAAAGTCCATAAATATAATAAATAAATAACTAGCTTAAAAAAATACCGTATGTAAAAGCTTTAGCCTAGTGCCTTCCTTATAGCAAGTCCTCAAATGCGTCCATTTCTGATACTTCTTTAGGCTCAGTTAGGTATTCTTTGCCCCCTCAACTCTACCCCATATTGACTTATCTGCACACAAAAGGAAATACAAGGGGCTATTTTATGAAACCCTTTTAAATAAGAAATACTGACTTGCTTTTCTAACTTTCTGTTATACAATTGTATAGTCTTTAAAGAAAGTAGTATTAGTTAACCCCTTTAGCAGAATGTAGGTATCACTTTATGGTCAATCTAAATCACATCTAACTAATGACCTAAGACATCCATATTCCCTTACCATGAAGATTGCCATGGTCAACAGTGAGCATTAACAGTCAAAATATGAGTACATTTTAATGAAAAGCAATATTCCCTTTAATAATTTTAAAGCTATGATCAGGCTACGTGAGCAACAACTCTAAAGATTTAGCAACAAAGCAGAGTTAGCTGAATAGATTTTATCTGCCATTTGGCTGGGATGAGGGGAAGAGAGAAGTGAATACTGCTCTGTCCCCTATGTTTAGGTCTCATCATATTCCCTACAGGAGAAGACCAACAGCAATGTTGCTGTTAGAGCTGGAAATTCCCTCATAGGCTTGACCAACCCTGGACAGGTGTACATCAGGAAAATGAAAACATCGGGATCAACTTTGTATAAGTAGATTTAAGCAGTAAATCTAACAGATGTGGGCTCAATCCTGACTTTGTCATTTCTTAGTTGCGTCGCCTTGGGCAATTTCTTAAGTTTCCATATCTATGATTTGTGAATAAAATTTATGACTGTTCAGAGGATTACACGAGAATAATGTGTATTAGGCAGATGACCATATCTGGCATAAACACTCGCTTCTCCATTATGACTCTGACAGGCACATGCCCCCCATCCTGAAGACCTGAAACAGTGACAATCCCTTCCAGGAAAGGGTGAAAATCAGACGTGGGCTTTTACCAACAGTGTCACAAAGGGAAACTCTGCACATCATATTCTTCTTGTGAAAATTCATAATGTACATTAATGTACAGTAAAGAAATCTATTTGATTTTAACTTGGTGCTTTCCAAATTTATTTTACCCTTTGTTCTTCATAATAACTACTCCACTTTGCATCTTGAAAAATGCTACTATAGCAAATAAGTCTATTAAAATTGCTAAAGGAGGGGGGTTGGGGTGAGAAAAAACGCCAAAATACTCCACAATCTCATCCCTTTCCAGGTTTCAAAAAGTTTCAAAAAAATCCTTAAAGATTATTACTTGTTTTGTGCTGCAGATGTCTTCTGAAGAACCTATAACGAGCATTCTCAACCTTTTTGGTCTCAGAACTCCTTTACATTCTTAAAAATAATTGAGGATGGAGGAATAGAGATTACAAAAGGGCACAGAAAATCTTTGTGGGTCATGAATATGTTCTTGACTGTAGTGATAGATGGTATCATGATTAAATTTTATGTGTCACCTTGGCTAAGCTCTGGTGCCCAGTTGTTTGGTCAAACACTAGTTTAGATGTTACTGTGAAGGTATTTTGTCGATGTAATTAATATCTACAATCAGTTGACTTTAAGAATGTTACCCTTGATAACATGGATAGGCTCCATCTAATCAGCTGAAGACTTTATGAGCAAAAACTGAGGTTTCCTGGAAAAGGAATTCTGCCTTAAAACTATAACAGAAACCCTGCCAACTTGCCATACAAATTTCAGAGTCCAGACTTTTTTTTTTCTTTTTTTTGCGGTACGCGGGCCTCTCACTGTTGTGGCCTCTCCCGTTGCGGAGCACAGGCTCTGGACGCACAGGCTCAGTGGCCATGGCTCACGGGCTCACTCCGCAGCATGTGGGATCTTCCCAGACCGGGGCACAAACCCGTGTCCCCTGCATCGGCAGGTGGACTCTCAACCACTGCACCACCAGGGAAGCCCAGAGTCCAGACTTTAATGTCAACTCTAGCCTGAGTTTCCAGCCTGCTGTTCTGCCCTACAGATTTCAGACTTGCCAGCATACATGTCAAATCGTATACTTTACATATGTGCAATTTATTGTCTGTCAATTATATCTCAAAAATTACTGAGATCTCAGAGCTTTTGTTTATGTAGTTCTCTCTGTTGTTATCTGCTGATATCAACTAAATTGGGAAACAACACTGAGAAACTTTTGAAATATTTAAGATACGTAATATATTAATATATACTTTTTACATATTGATTTTATTTTAAAAAGTTATGTTTTCTAAAACAAAAAAATTGTGAGAAGAGTTGTATTCTTAAAGAAATTGTTACAAATCTCTTTAATATCTGACTTAAAAGAGGACAGCTGAATTTTCATATCTGCTTCAGCATTCAGTGTATTGCAATATGTTGCTTTGGTTGAAGTATATAAAGAAAATCTGGTCTCAATCAGATATATATTTGGAAAATGGGGGAGTATTTTAATAGCCCTTTCAGCCTATTCTTTGATAACACCCCAAAACTTGACAAGTGGTGATTTCTTAAAGATCAGTTGCAATGTGGAATCTGAAACAACATCAATAAACTTTCAGATACTGTTTCATTAAAATCTATTGATCAATCTTGACTTCTGGATGGATTTTTTACCTATATATTATTTTGCCATACTACACATTGATCTTCAGAAAATACTGATTCCTAGAGATATGCAGATTTTCTAAATATTGACATATAACATTATTCAATATAAAAAAATCATATTTATTAACATCACCAACAATCTACTCAGAATTTAAATATTGGAAAATTTCAAGCTTATGGTAAAACACAAATTTTTCCAAAATTCTAATTTTTGCTTGAAAGTTCAAATTTTATCATCAGCAACAAATGCTGTCAGTTGTTTTTCCTTGAGGTAGCAGGCTCACTTCATTCATTTCAAGGAACTGTCTACCAAATAACCAAGTCTGAATAATCATAATTTTTGTCAGTTATCCTTTCAAAAATAAAAATGGTATTCTAGATTGGTGGCTGCCAGAGGCAGGGGGGTGGCGGGTGGGCAAAATGGGTGACTTAGATCAAAAGGTACAAATTTTCAGCTATAAAATAAGTAAATCATAGGGATATAAACCACAGCATGGTGACTGTAGTTAACAGTACTGTACTGTATACCTGAAAGTTGCTAAGAGAGATCTCAAAAGTTCTTATCACAAGAAAAAAAAATTTCTAACTATGAGGTAATGGATGTTAAGTAGACGCATTGTGGTGATTATTTCATAATATATGGAAATATCAAATCATTATGCTGTAATCCTGAAACTAAAATAATGCATTTCCAAAAAATTAGATCTCAGAAACTTTTGGGAAAAAAGCAAAAAATTAAAAAATAAATTTAAAAAATTAAAATGCTGTTCCATATTAAAACGTGGCTAGTTTGTCTCACAAATGTTTTCCCTCAAGTAAACCGCCATACTTCAGTACATGACAGAAGTGCTATACAGTACATCCGATTTTGTCATATGGTATTAAAAAGACATGCGCTTAAAGGTCATATTTACTTAAATTCATTTTTATTGCACTTTCTTAAGTGAGACTGGCATTGTTGCTGTTGCAGTGGCAAGCACATGTGGAGAAGAATGCAATGACTACTAGTACAGTTGTGTGCCACTGCCCTGTTTCACACGAAGGCACCAGCAGGTTTAGCCTACCACTGCTTTCATGTCATCAGTGCAAACGTCAACATGGTGAAAGGGCTAATACATCTTAGTATTATTATGTAAGTTGTTTTGATCTTGTACACCCCCTGCAAAAGACTCAGGGACCCACAGACAAAACTCTGAGAGGCATTATGCTAAATAAATACACTTAGCTGCTGAAAGGATAATAGGAATATTAATAGCTCCACAATTTGTATAAGGTAGAGCAACCTTTTTTTTTCTTGGCCTGGCCGCATGGCTTGCGGAATCTTAGCTCCCTGACCAGGGATCAAACCTGTGCTCCCTGCAATGGAAGCACGGAGTCCTAACCCAAGGTGGAGCAATCTTGACTAGAAATAGAGAGCTGAGGAACTTGCCTCAAAGCTGCATGTGCACAGCAAGTTCATTTTTACTTTATATGTTTTTTAGAAGGCATAAATTTTTACATGTGACTAGACATTAATCAGTAAAATTTACAAATCATTCTGATTATCATGGACAGTCTATATAATATGAACTCATTACTATATTAAGTAGCTTCAAATTTCTAAACTACTTTTTAAAAACTCAATGTAGTATTTAACATTTTCTTCAACGTAAAACTAAGCAGAAACAGTTGATAAGTTTTTAAATGGCCCACTTTCATTTTGAACACTGCTAAATAATGGAGTGTAGTATTTTTATTTATAATGCCAGAAATTTGTAATTCTAGTGATATTTACCACAAACAATATTGAGATAAAAGTTTGTAATCGCTGTACCATCTGATTTTAACATTTAGGACCTTGAAAGATACACTGGGAGAAAATAATATAGATATTCAGAATACAATACCCATTAATGATTCCTTTCAATAAAAAATATTGTCTTTTGATAGAATCAAGATGACTGTCAATCACAGGCCAAAAAAAAAGAAAACCACCCCCAAAAATGTTGATTTAGGAGCTTTTTAAAATAAAGCAGAGTGAGTGTATATTAACAGTTACAGAAAAAAACATTTTTAGCTATACTTAAATTCTGGTCATGGAAACATATATCCTAGTAACCCATGTTATAAAATTACATTTCAAGCCATACAATTTAAATTGTATAAAACCAAAATTAAATCAAAGAAGGTCAACTTACTCGATCTGCTAATCCTCCAGGGACTATAGTCCTCACAACTACACCACTCGATTTTCCTCCAACTATTCCAAAACCTAATCCAGAGCCATCATTAATGAGCTCAACATCTTCAATATGGCCCCAACTAACCTACAAATTAATAGCAAGTAAGAAGCAAAGTGTTAGCAAAGCATATACATTCATCACTTACCAATACAGAAATTACTAGGTAGACAAAATATTTAATATTCATACAATTAATCAAGTCAACTTTCTAGAGGCTCAGAGATACGTAAAGATGATCATATGGTCCCTGCCTTTACAGATTTTATAATCCGGTAGAGAGATAAACTAAAACATAAACAATTAAAATATAAGACAGAATATTGGACCATAGGACACTGTAGCTCTAAGAGGACAGAAACACACTGTCTCATTTCCCAGTCTATGCCTGATACCTAGCACAGTGCCAAGCACCTAGTAGGAAACAATAAATATGTGTTTATCTGAATTAAAAGAGAAACATAAAATATTATAAAGATGGGAGGAATGTAGAGACAAGAGGTCAAATCCAGTGAAAACTTATGGAAAGCTTCAAGGAAAAGGTAGCATTTTAATTGCTCTACAGAGAAAAAAGACATTCAAGCAAAAGGGAAATTTAAGAGCAAAGCTAGGCTCAGATAAGTGGGAATAACTGAAGGTTTTAGAAGAGGGAACGACAGGAACAAAGCAGTGGTTTAGAAAGATTAATCTAGCAGCAACGTGAAGCATGCGATTGTGAGGACACAGAGTGACCAGAATAACTGAAGAGACTCTGATGAAGGAGAGGAAAGGTAGGCCTAACTGAAGATGTCAGCAATAGGATTATACAAATCAGACTAAGAGACATAAGCATTTTTCCTCTAATAGCAGCCTCCATCAGAAGTATGCATTAAATTCACATCTACAAACAATAAATGCTGGAGAGGGTGTGGAGAAAAGGGAACACTCTTGCACTGCTGGTGGGAATGTGAATTGGTTCAGCCACTATGGAGAACAGTATGGAGGTTCCTTAAAAAACTACAAATAGAACTACCATATGACCCAGCAATCCCACTACTAGGTATATACCCTGAGGAAACCAGAATTCAGAAAGAGTCATGTACCAAAATGTTCATTGCAGCTCTATTTACAATAGCCCGGAGATGGAAACAACCTAAGTGCCCATCGTCGGATGAATGGATAAAGAAGATGTGGCACATATATACAATGGAATATTACTCAGCCATAAAAAGAAACGAAATTGAGCTATTTGTAATGAGGTGGATAGATCTAGAGTCTGTCATACAGAGTGAAGTAAGTCAGAAAGAGAAGGACAAATACCGTATGCTAACACATATATATGGAATTTAAGAAAAAAAAATGTTATGAAGAACCTAGGGGTAAAACAGGAATAAAGACACAGACCTACTGGAGAACAGACTTGAGGATATGGGGAGGGGGAAGGGTGAGCTGTGATAGGGCGAGAGAGAGACATGGACATATATATACTAACAAACGTAAGGTAGATAGCCAGTGGGAAGCAGCCGCATGGCACAGGGATACCGGATCGGTTCTTTGTGGCTGCCTGGAGGGGTGGGATAGGGAGGGTGGGAGGGAGGGAGACAAAGAGGGAAGAGATATGGGAACATATGTATATGTATAAATGATTCACTCTGTTATAAAGCAGAAAATAACACACCATTGTAAAGCAATTATACCCCAATAAAGATGTTAAAATAAATAAATAAATAAATTCACATAATGCGCCTGCAGAGCAAAAGTCTCCCCCTCAAGACATTAGGGCATACTTATTACTTAGTTCTTCTATTACACTAAATTGGAAAGTTACTACGAAATGTTAAAATAACCAGAGATATTGGGACTATTTAATAAATTCACACCTGGAACAATACCTAGTATCCAGAGAGCAACAATGTTTGCTAAAAATGCCTAAATTAGGGACAGCAATTCATTTTCATAGAGTATTTATTCTGCCCTAGGCACTGTGTTTAGCTCTTCACATGCATTCTCACTTAATCCTCACATCTGTGTGAACTAGAAACTGTTATTAGTTCCAAGCAACAGATGAGAAAACTGAGGTATGGAGAAGCCAAGGCATTTGCCCAGTAAGACTCACCTACAAAGTAAGAAGTGGACCTGAACCCACCTTAGCCTCACTCCAGAGCCCTTGTTCTTAACCACTATGCTAAGCAACTTCCCACTTTGTTCATTCTATTTATTATGTAAACTGTGCTATATAAATATTACTGATTACAACAGGGAAAATGTCTATACATTAGTGTTGTGACCTTGTACTGTACACAGTCTATTTTTTCTTTTGTCCAATGAATGGAAATTAAATAAATCAGCTAGCACTTAGTGTTATAAGAAAATAAGATTTATTAGCTTGCATTTTGAAGATGCAGGCCGAAATCTGTAAAATGTTACAAAGCAAGTTTAAAGACTCCCAAAGGAACATAAACTTTTATTCTTTTAAATTGTTCAGTATACATCCTTACATGAAAAGAAAAACTTCTATAATTGTGCAGTATCCATAATCTAGTCATAAACACCCAATATAATTTAAAAAAATGTTTTTGAAACAAATAACCAAATCTTAATTTAAAAACTCAATAGTAAATCTCTAATAAAAACTCCCAGCTTAATTAAGTGGTTACATCACCAAGGAATTCCTTCCTTCACCAAATTATACCCAATACTACAATTTGCCCTCTATGTTAAATAATAATCTTAAACAAGGAGAATCACAGGACATTGAAAAACAAAACGAAACCCCCCATGAAATATCTTGTTTAACATGCTAATGCTGCATTCAGAGATACAATCATCTTTCTTGAACTATGACAAATAAAATGACATTTTCTAAAAGTCTTTACACTTCTTAAAATCAAAGGCATAATTCAAAATTAAGTGTTTTTTAAAATTTGCTACTCACTGTTTCAGGCAGACTTGCATCAGTTAGGCTGGTAGAAGTGCTGCTTTTTGTGTGGACTGGCTCCCTGGCCACAACCAGATGCAAAGATCCAGAGGTTTGTTGTAACAATGCAATTGCTTGCTGGTGGGAAATGTTCTGATCCAGTGGTGTGTGATTAATAGCCAATATTTGGTCATTTTCCTTTAACCTTTGATCCCTTGATGAAATAAGAAAATTTTAAGTGACATAATAGCCTGATTCTTAAAATCTACTATTCAGGTAGTTTATATATTATGGTATTATTTCACTTAGTACGTTTATTGAAGTATTTAATTGTATAATATAAAAGAGCTCTTCAGACTGCTTTTCATTAAAGCACTTATTAACTAATTAACCAAGTAAGTAGTGCATCCCTACACACACACACATTTTATTTTTTAACTTTTTTTTTTTTTTTTTTTTTTTTTTTTTTTTGTGGTACGCGGGCCTCTCACTGTTGTGGCCTCTCCCGTTGCGGAGCACAGGCTCCGGACGCGCAGGCTCAGCGGCCATGACTCACCAGCCCAGCCGCTCCGCGGCATGTGGGATCTTCCCGGACCGAGGCACGAATCTGCGTCCTCTGCATCGGCAGGCGGATTCTCAACCACTGCGCCACCAGGGAAGCCCCACACACACATTTTAAAAGCCATATGGCTTGAAAAATAAGCAAAAACAATGTATAGGGCCCCACTGCTAAGGTTTTGCAAGTATGGACATTGTCCTCATTGTGGCACCAAACCTGTACTCCTGAACCCCTTCCAATCTGACTTCTGCATGGACCATACAGGGCTATATGTTCACCAATAACCTCCTCTCTAACAGATTCATCCCATCCCCATTGTCCTTTACTTCTCCAATATTTGTCAACAGAGGCCAAACTCTCCATGAAAATCAATAGAGATTATTTCCAAATCTGTATCTGAGCCCTTCTCTCTGTCCTAATCACAAATTTTCCAACTGCTAACCAATGTAAAAAGGATTTTTTAAAAGAAATTTTTAAAAGAAATTAGCAAAATCTTAAGAAAAAAAGTACTATTATAGTTAATATTTACTGAGCACTTCTTATGAGCTAGGAACTGTGCTAAATGCTTTATAGGCATTATCTCCTTTATTCCTCACAATCACCTTTTAAAGTACTTAGTTAAGGGCTTCCCTGGTGGCGCAGAGCGGCTGGGCCCCTGAGCCATGGCCGCTGAGCCTTCGCATCCGGAGCCTGTGCTCCACAATGGGAGAGGCCACAACAGTGAGAGGCCCGTGTGTACCTCCGGAAAAAAATAAATAAATAAATAAAGTACTTAGTTAAATTTGACCTGCAAGAAATTAAAGCAAGCTTAGCATCTTATCTAAGTAGTCTGACTCTAAACCATACTCTTTAACTACTTAAAGTGCATACTAAGAGTAGGATTTACTCTGGTTTGCTGTATTTGACCTCATTATCTCCTGCTCTTCCTGTTTCTTCATTATCACCACAATTCTTTCTTATCTTTCTTTATCTCTCTTGCACCACCCATCTCCTCCTTTCTATTCCCAATGTCAACCATCCAATTGAGATCCTTGTTGAATACCTCAAACCTAACTTGTAAAATTCCTCAAGGTTTATTTTTCTAGGCTCTCTTCACGCTAGTATTCCCCAACTCGCAAGTATATAATTATCTATAGTTGTTGACCAATAAGGAGAGAGTCAAAGGAAAGTAAACAAACTCTTGTCATGACTATTTTATAAAAGAATATCTTTAACCTTCAATATAAAAAAATCTCCCTGAGAAGGAATTCATCTCAGAACAGTGTAACTCATAAATTTAGAATTATGAAAATTCCATTATATTGCCCTTATTTTTTCTCAGGTAACAGCAGATTCAGCAAAACTTTATCATGGACCAGAATTTGGTTAACTTCTGACCTCTAGGACACAATGTAAACTTGGTTGGTATTCAAAGGTCTCTACATTTGGCCCCAAAGTACTCTTCCAACTTGGCTTCCTCCCTATATAAACCTCTTTTCCAACTATCCTGATTTACTCTTTCCATCTCAAACATGTCTGGTATTTCCCGATTTTGTGTAAATGGT